ACTACCAATAAGATGGTTTTTACCCTCCACAACCTCTATAATAATCTCTAACAGACCTAAATCTACGCAACATTAATCGAATTAGTAATTCACTCAATGTTAATTGTTCCAAAAAAAAAATGTCAATCCCAAATCTCAAAATGCATGAAGGAGATGAAATTCTTGAAATTTTCATGCACATTAATTTGGGGGAATGAATGAGGGTTATTATTTAGGTGCAATTACCAAACCCAATTACTTCAAATATTAACCAAATGAAGTATCAAAATTATGCACAATTACTTCAAGATTTGTCTCTAGCACGTTGTTTTCTAAAGAAACGTAGTAAGAGAAAAGAATATGTTCCCAAGCAATGTTCTAAAAAATATGTTCCAAAGCCATGTTCTAAGAATATGTTCCAAAGCAAGTCGTCGGACAAAGACCCAAATCCCCAAAACCTTGCATCACGCAATTCCTCAAACACCTAAATGGATCAAACAATTCCAAAAAAAAAAAGAAGCAACAATTCAATGGATTGAGAATGATTAATACCATTAGCCATAATTGATTCATAAATGTTGTGTTGTAAATGAAGAATCTAACCAAATTTAAATATAAATTTACCAATTTTAATGGTAGGTGCCACTTGATAGTAAGCAAAACATAGCACCACCCAAGAAAACAAAGAATGACCACTGTGTGCTTGGCCTCTAATCAATGGAGCAATTAAGTTTGTTAGATCCTCTGCATATGAGCATGGAATAAAAATATTAGCCATTGAAAGATTGATTACTGGAAAATGTATTGTAAAGTGGAGAAACAAATGAGAGAAAAAGAAAAAAAAATGAAGGTAGAAAAAGAAAAAAAAATAAAGGTATATCTGTTCCGAAACCCAATCCTCAGTGAAAGCAACATTTTAAGGTTTAGAAAAAGCTACATGAGACAACCTACAAAAGACTAAAACAAAATCTTACTGATGAATTTGACAGTGGTGTGACATTAAAAATGACATGACTGTGTGAATCCGAGACAACCTACAAAAATTGCTTTCACTGAGGATTGGGTTTTGGAACAGATATACCTTCATTTTTTTTCTTTTTCTCTCATTTGTTTCTCCATTTTACAATACATTTTTCAGTAATCAATCTTTCAATGGCTGATATTTTTATTCCATGCTCATTTGCATAGGATCTGACAAACTTAATTGCTCCATTGATTGGAGACCAAGCACACAGTGACCCTTCTTTGTTTTCTTGGGTGGTGCTATGTTTTGCTTACTATCAAGTGGCACCTACCATTAAAATTGGTAAATTTATTTTTAAATTTGGTTAGAATCTTCATTTACACACAACATTTATGAATGAATTACTGCTAATGATATTAATCATTCTCAATCCATTGAATTGTTGTTTCTTTTTTTTTTTTGGAATTGTTTTATCNGTTACTAAACTTAATTTTTCGTTGCTTATATTTTGTTATAGGATTATGAAAATTTTGGGAATGTACAAAATTCGTCTTTCTAACTATAACAAAAGAAAGATAAAAAAAACTATATCTACGATTATTTTTTTAACTTAGAAATAAAAGGGTTAAACTTTTCAATTTTTTTGATGGAATTTTTGAAATTATTTTTTTAACTTAGAAATAAAAGCGTTAGATTGATAGAGTTTTTGAAATTTTTTTGAACGTTATTATAAAGTATAATAATGCATATATTTTTAAGAGTAATATAGTTAATCAAAAAATTTCATAGAAACTGATATTTATACATAGAGAATAGATAATTAAAAGAGATAATAAATACATAACAATATGATAATAATTTATATATTTAATTTTAAAATGATAAAGTGGTTTTTGCAATTCTTTATAAGGGTAAAATAAAGAATCAAAAATTTTTTATGTTAAGGTACTTTTATTAGTAGTATGAATATAGATTCATATGGTGCATTTTTTATGGTTAGTTATTCATGTGTGAAAGAATAGTTTTAAGTTGCTTTAGATGCATAAAAAGAGCATGACTATTTTTCAACCTCATCCATTTTATTTGGTCTTTTGTACAGGCTCAAATTGATTTGATAGATCCAATTAAACTTAAGGAATGTCATGTGGGTTTATAATCTAAACATATAGTTTAGACTTTGAGCTTAATGCATGTATATGTTCATTGTTTGATTGTTCCGTGTTCAAGAACATGCTATTTATTTAATTATTTTTTGAATTGCACAATATCTTCAGGCATGAGTTATAAGAGCAGTTTAGGCTTTCAGCTTAGTATGCGTCTGAGTTTAGTGCTCGATTTTTTTTTAATTGTATCGTGTCTTCAGGCACGGGTTACCCTAGTATGTAATGATGTAAGAATGAACCATATAGATTGTAATGATAGGAATAAATACTTGGGACACAAATTGATTGTGAAGTTTAAAATTTTGAAGGCGTTTAAGTTTGGGAAAGGTATTTAGGGTATTATATATGTATGTTTTCAATCCTCTTGATAATTATGTGATAAATATCTATGAATTCTTGGTTTCTTTATCATTGGAACATGGTCTTAAACAAAAAACATGCTTGGGTTCAAGGAACACTTGTTCTTGAATTTTTAAAACCCTAGTTTTTTTTCCAAAATACATGTACTATTGTGAAATTAATATGGATTCTTGATTTCTAAATTCCTATTCTTGACTAAATCATGTTTTCATCTAATATTTGTTCTTGTTCCAAGAAATTATAATTTTTGGCTAAACCCTAGAATTTTGATATCAAAATTGTGAATGTTTTCTTGAGATGATCTCTTGCATATTTTAATTTCTTTAGTAATGTAGTATATTGAGAATTGTGCACTTATGATACTTAAATTATTAATGGAAATTGTGATTGGTTAAGATTGTGATTGTTGAGAAAGTTTTGATTTCATCTCTTGCATGGTTTGAGTGTGATAGACTTGAATTGCCTTCAAGAGCTGTTGTAGAATGTTAGAAATTAGTCTATCCCAGTGGGGGTGAAATGGTTGCCTAACACTTGTAGTGGATTGCTGTTTGTGAGAGCAACCACTATTGTTCACGTAAGTTCGAAACCGAAGGATAGTATATCTTTCCTTGGAAGGATTCGTCAATACCGTGACAGACGGTATACGCCCTTCCTAAAGTGGCTTGTGATTTGGACCTGCGGGGAATGAGTGAGGTCGTGTGGTTGTAATGGGTGAACGAGGTAGAATCATTGTGTAGATCTTAAGAAGCAACCAATATACATGACAATGGGGATGAATTAACATACATAACAATATTGAATGATGTTACTGAGTTACTTATTGATTGCTTTAATTTCTTGCAAGTTTATTCCTGTCATTGATTTACTGTATTCCGTACACTTAATATCATTACAACTACCATGGTTTTATTCTCAAAAATCTTTATATGCTATTTTACAAAAAAAACTTACTATCTTTTATTATTTTAAATTTTGTTGGAATTTGAGGGGAATTTTATACGGGCTTTTGCTCACCCCCTACAACACACTTACAGATTTTAGCATAGAAGATGATGTCAATGTGGTTGAGCAGATTGATTACGAGTCGTTGGAGGTTAAAGATGTGGATCATACTTTAGAGGAATAGAGTTGATCTACTTTTGGTTTAGAGTTTGAGAAATTTTTATGAAAGAATGTTTTGACTAATTTTTATTATTCCGTTACTAGATATTCTTAGTTTTGAATTGTAAGTTGGAGAAGTTTCATTGTTTTAGTATTTATTTCTTGTCAAATGGGTGAATGATTTGTTACTTAATAGTTATTTTTAGTTTCTCTCATGGTTGAATAGTTTGTAAATAGTTATGCCTTTTAGGTTGGATTTTGGGGTGTTACAATACCAACTTAAACCACCATGTTTTAAGGTTGAATATTCGCTAATATAACTTGACCAGATTAACTATACCAAATTATCACCTCATAAGCACCACCATTATTGTCACTGTTGTCTCACTACAATCAACCAATCGCCATGGCCATTACTTTTCTCATTAGCATTTGTTCAGCGTTATCTTCACTTTACTCTAATTACCACTAAATACCATCACCATCAATCTCACACTCTATCATTAACACCATCACCATCAATCTCACAATTATTACCCCCTAACAACCATCCTGGTGGTTGCGGTGATGATGGTGAGGAGGGGGGTAGTGAAGGAATGGTGGGAGATGGTTTTGGTGGGGAGGACAACGATTATGATATAAGTAAGGGTGCAATTCAGGCGGACTGGACAATTAACACTAACCCAACTCTAAGTATATAATATTCAACACTAATTCTAACCCTAACCCTACCTCGGGTTGAGAAACTCAATCCGAGCACTACCCGAGTTGAATTCGGGTTAATGATTTCGGACTGATTTCGAGTTATTTTATGGGTTTAATTCGGATAGAGCCCAAAATAGGCTTGTTATTCTAAACCTAATACATACATTACATAATATTCACCTAAACTAACAACCAATAACTTCAACCAAGTTTTTAACAGTGCTAATGCTAGAACAAAAATAAAAATGAACGAGAGAGACAGAGAACGATAAAAGAAAAATGAAAAATCAGTTCTAGTATTTTATATATATAATTTTTTTTTAATTTGTTGGGTTGAACCCAAGTCCAACCCAAATTAAATTTGAGTTAAAATTTTTTGNAGAAAAATGAAAAATCAGTTCTAGTATTTTATATATATAATTTTTTTTTAATTTGTTGGGTTGAACCCAAGTCCAACCCAAATTAAATTTGAGTTAAAATTTTTTGACTCAAGTCCAACTTAAGTATTAAAAATTTTTGTCCAGATTTTAATTTTTTTGGGTTGTGCTCAGGTTGAAATCGGGTTGCCTAACTCAAATTACACCGCTAGATATAATTGGGGGTGGTGGCGACAACTGNTTAGGTTGTGCACAGGTTGAAATCGAGTTGCCTAACTCAAATTACACCGCTAGATATAATTGGGGGTGGTGGCGACAACTGTGGAGGGTCGGTGAAGATGGTAGTGGGGTACGGGTTCACCATATTGGCCCCCTTTGCCTCTATATAAGGGTGGCTAACTCCTATAACCCTCCTCACCCTCCACCCTCTTCTTTCCATCCCTAATCGCTCTACAACTCTATCTTTGTTTCTCTAATAAACCCTAAAGATTCTCTTTCTTTGCAACAAATGGGGGAAACCGGTATTCATAACCTTGCCAAATGGGAGGACCCCGCGGAGGCGTTGGCCAAAGCCCCCCACGTGTTTGGCGAATACGGCGGTGTCAACATGTCCATCGAGGCCTCAACCGCGTTCAGGTTCATGAAGTCTGAGAACATGAGCCGCATGTTCACCGGCGAATTGGGTCCAGACGGCGACTATTTTATCCATAGCCGTCACTCCAACCCAACGGTGCGCAATCTCAGCCGCAGACTGGCGGCTCTTGAAGGAACAGAGGCCGCATACTGTACGGCCTCCGGCATGTCAGCCATATCNGGTGCGCAATCTCAGCCGCAGACTGGCGGCTCTTGAAGGAACAGAGGCCGCATACTGTACGGCCTCCGGCATGTCAGCCATATCGTCGGTGCTGTTGCAGCTCTGCAGCCCCGGCGGACACATGGTGGCTTCGCGGGCGGTGTACGGTGGGTCACACGCGCTGCTCACGCATTTCTTGCCGAGGGCGTGTAACATTACGACGACGTTCGTGGATATAAGAGATCACGACATGGTGAAGGAAGGGATTGCCGAAGGAAGAACGAAGGTGTTGTATTTTGAGGCAGTCTCAAACCCTACGCTGATGGTGGCTAACGTTCCGGAGTTGTGTAGGATAGCGCACGAAAAGGGGGTGATGGTGGTGGTCGATAACACCTTCTCTCCGATGGTTCTGTCTCCGGCACGTCTCGGAGCCGACGTGGTCGTTCATAGTATCTCCAAGTATATTAGCGGTGGGGCCGACATTAGTGCAGGTACGTTATTTAGCCATCGTACACGTGCTTCGGCATTAAATTCAGATAACTTTTGAAAATTCTTTCGAATAGGAGGAGGAGATTTGATGAACAGTAATGATAATGATATATACTACCCAACAACAAAAGAAACATAAAAATGTGTAAGCCATTGATTTCCGGGACGTTGACTAATCNCTACCCAACAACAAAAGAAACATAAAAATGTGTAAGCCATTGATTTCCGGGACGTTGACTAATCACCCCGTGTCTAATTAATCATGAGTTAGACTTGTGGTTTATAGGAGTGATTTTGTCTCGGCCTTAAATTTGGGTCTCTGTTATATAATTAGTTTCAAAATATAANTCACCCCGTGTCTAATTAATCATGAGTTAGACTTGTGGTTTATAGGAGTGATTTTGTAGACAACCTTAAATTTGGGTCTCTGTTATATAATTAGTTTCAAAATATAAACTTATTGAACTGAACAATCACGGGACCGAAATATCTCTAATTGTGCAAAATGTAGAGCATACAATATATATTTGATCAATCAAACACCATGGTCAAACTACCTCTCTCCTTCGTTCATCTGTGGTTTTCTTTGCACTTCAGTTTCAATAAAGTTTTTTCAACCACACCTTTTCCCCATTCCCAGAGCTGTAATAACCAAACTAGTGATTTTGACGCGAGAACTGATTTGATAATGTACAGGTGCGGTTTGTGGACCAAAGAGCCTAGTGAACTCTATGGTGGACCTTCATCAAGGGGCTCTTGTGCTACTAGGCCCAACTATGAATGCCAAGGTGGCCTTTGAACTATCAGAAAGAATTCCTCACTTGAGCTTGAGAATGAAGGAACATTGCAACCGGGCTTTGGTTTATGCCACAAGGATGAAGAAACTGGGCCTCAAAGTCATCTACCCGGGCCTTCAAGATCACCCTGATCATGATCTTTTGAAATCAATGGCGAATCAAGACTATGGTTATGGCGGAATTTTATGTGTGGACATGGAAACTGAGGAAAGGGCTAACCGACTCATGGACCTCTTGCAAAACCGCACCCAGTTCGGGTTCATGGCTGTTAGTTCGGGGTACTATGAGACCCTCATGTCTTGCTCTGGTAGTAGCACAAGCATCGAATTGAACACGAAAGAGAAAGCGTTGGCGGGCATTTCACCTGGATTGGTGAGGATGTCCATTGGCTATAGTGGCACCCTGGAGCAAAAATGGAGTCAGCTCGAAAAGGCGCTTTCAGAAATGAAAGACTCAAGTTTTTTGTCAAAGAATTAAAAGAAGTCTTAACCAAGTGGTTGCTTAAGCTTTGATGGTGTGTTTATGTAGAAAGGGGTGTCCTTTGCACCTTAGTTGATGTTACTGTTTTTGTTAAAGTTAGTATATATGTCTGTCATAAACCTCTCCGTTTAATCATCAGTGTGAATAGTGAAAGCCCCAGGGCTTCCCAAGGCCTTGTGGCTTTCTTCAAAGTGTGCTAGCTTTTTAACTGCCAGTCGATAATGACTGGCGTAAGCTCTGTTCATGATAAACCTTGAAACTGTACACTATTTCAATTTTCAAACTTTGCCATCTGAGCTTAGTCTGTCGTCTATAATAATAAAATAGAACTCAATTTGAATTTTTTTTAACTTAAAAATTTAATTTATTTTAATTTTATTTGAGAAAGCACAAAAACAGCTCAGATTTATTCTAAATTTAACTCAACGGTCTAGATTTTATCTAATTCTTCCAATTGTATCTATTGACCCACATTTCATCGCAGATAAAAAAAAAAATCCCGCCCAAACGAGACCCAACTCCTACACGCTAANTAGTGAAAGCCCCAGGGCTTCCCAAGGCCTTGTGGCTTTCTTCAAAGTGTGCTAGCTTTTTAACTGCCAGTCGATAATGATGACTGGCGTAAGCTCTGTTCATGATAAACCTTAAAACTGTACACTATTTCAATTTTCAAACTTTGCCATCTGAGCTTAGTCTGTCGTCTATAATAATAAAATAGAACTCAATTTGAATTTTTTTTAACTTAAAAATTTAATTTATTTTAATTTTATTTGAGAAAGCACAAAAACAACTCAGATTTATTCTAAATTTAACTCAACGGTCTAGATTTTATCTAATTCTTCCAATTGTATCTAATGACCCACATTTCATCGCAGATAAAAAAAAAAATCCCGCCCAAACGAGACCCAACTCCTACACGCTACGCACCCCTGCACTCTACCCAAACCCCTTACGCGGCTACTCTGTGCTCACCAGTCACCTCTCACTTCTCTGCCATGGCTCATGGCTCAACACATTGGCTTCCCAGACCCCTTAAACCCCTTCACAACGACCACCGATTTGCCCTTTCTCTTCCCCTTTCACTCACTTTGCCTGCTCGCATACACATGGCAGAAAACACCTCAGCCCAGGTACCTCCCTCTTCCCCTTTCACCGATTGTCCATCACACACTGCATTGCGTTCGGTTTGGGCAANCCCCTTAAACCCCTTCACAACGACCACCGATTTGCCCTTTCTCTTCCCCTTTCACTCGCTTTGTCTGCTCGCATACACATGGCAGAAAACACCTCAGCCCAGGTACCTCCCTCTTCCCCTTTCACCAATTGTCCATCACACACTGCATTGCGTTCGGTTTGGGCAAACTTTATGCATTTGATTTGATTTGCTTTTTCGGTTTGGGTAAACTACGGCGTGGGTGGGTTTGTGGTATATCGAATGGGATACTCCATTGTGTTCGGTTTCACCGATTGTCAATCACACACTTTCACCAATGATTTGGGTTTGTGGTATATCGAATGGGATACTCCATTGTGTTTGGTTTGGGCAAACTTTATGCATTTGATTTGATTTGTTTTTTTTTTTCGGTTTGGGCAAACTACGACTTGGGTGGGTTTGTGGTATATCGAATGGGATACTCCATTGTGTTCGGTTTGGGCAAACCACGGCTAAGTTTCTTATTCGGATTGCGATTTGATTTTTTTCTTATTCGGCTAAATTATTTTCACCCAAGCTTCGTCCTCTTTGAATCTAGCGTCAAGCTTTGTCCTCTGCATTTCAAATTTCGTCCTCTGTTTTCAAAGATCTGCATGTTGATGATCTTTGGTAAAGGAAGTGGTATTGTTGGTGATCTTTGGTGTGGAATGCATTTTATACCTCTACCATATTTTCATTACTTTGTGAATATTTGTTCAAACAGACTTTATTATTTTTTGTTCGAACACACTTTCTAAAAATTATTTTTGAATATTATTTTTTGTTCAAACACACCCTCTTATAATTTTTTGGAGGACCCTTTGATCGTAATTTCAGACTTTTTTGGGCTGTTTGCACTTACTCTATCTAAAACTGTGGAGGTTTTCCTTGATTAGTTGTTAATGAAAAGATTTACTTGAAAAATCCATGCGACATCCTGTACAAGATTGCGGATTAAAGATGAATCAATTTATTTTTGTTTTGGGTGCAGGGGAATATTGTTTTGGGTTTACATGCTTTGGATTTTGTTTATTTTTTGTTCGATTTTATGAATTTGGTGTTGTCTCAGTGAATTTGTTGTGAATTTAGTTGTTTATACATGGTTTCTAGGTTTTTCCAAGATGCATATAAACTATAATTTCCCTAAAAGCAGTTTCGTTCCCTTTTTTTTAACAATAGTTTTTACTTGGTTGACAGGGTAATGGTATTCATGGTACTCGACATGGAGTAGAACATTCCTTCCATTTGTGCTTAGTATACATGGTTTTTGCCTTTCTAAATTATTTTTTTAGTGCGAAATGGATTTGTAGTGTCATTAAGTTCTTAATTAAATTATTGTAACTTTGACTATTCTGAATTTTAGCAACAAGAAAAACCAGACTATTTAAAACCAGCCGAACACGCCTATGTGTGTTGTTAATGGATTTTTGGTCTTGAAGTTGTTTGATTTGGGTCTACTTGAATAAGTTTGAGTAATGGGCTCAACTTTAAATGGGCTAAAAATTGAAGTTAAGGCGTGTTCAGCTTTCATTCTATGCATTTTATGCGGTTTTTTAGGATGTGTATACATGCCACGTGCAATTGTATTTTAAAACTTTGAGAGGTTTATGATTTTGTTGTGTTTGAGATGTTTGATGTTTACGGGTTGTAAATTGAAGTCTAGCTGGGGCTTGCTCTTAGGCATGGGTTGTTTGCTAGGAACACGGGTAATTTCTATTGTATTGGGAACAAAACCCAAGTTTTTTAAGGTCATTCAACTGTGTTTTTAATTGGTCATTGATTTTTCAAATCAAAAATTAATTTTTGGTCAAATTGTATACTAGACTAGATGGTTAGTTTATTTTTGTGTCATGTATATATAGTTCTAAAACATTCTACTGCATTAGTGTTTCACTATGTAACATTTAATTAACTATTTTGTCTGCAATATTATTGGAAGTTTCTTTTGTTCAATTAGTTGTTTATACGTGGTTTCTAGGTTTTTCCAAAATGGAAATGAACTGGATTTTTATTTCCGTTACAACCAATGTGTTAGAAGTCTTCGGAAAAGCAATTGAGAGTTATACTAATTTTCTTCGAGTTACATAGAATATTTTGTATCTGTCAATTTATGTGTCAAGTGATCCTGAATGCCTATGTATATTTAGATATTAGATCTTGAATGCTTATAAAAAAAATGACTTCATCATAGTTTCTTTGTTTTATGTTTTATTTGGTGGTTTTTAGGAGGTGGTTGAATGAATGAAATCAATAATTGGATTAGATGACCGTGGCGAAGAAGAGGACAACCACAAAGGGAAGTCCATAATTGCGATGGTTAAGCAGTGCACTAGGCATGTAAATTCACTTCTCAAGTTCTGCAGGAAGAATGTGGGAGTGTGGTGGTATCACTTCCCTTCCTTTGGGAATAATGAGACATAAAATCACTACACTTTTGTGCCAAGTTGTACTTTATAATTATTGTGAAACGTTAATATTTTTATGCTTTTGTGGTAGTTAATAAATATTTGTATTTAGGCAGGACTATGACATGATGGTGAACATGTAATTGATTTTCATATGATTAAGAGGTATATCATTATTTTAGGTAAGTAAATATTTCTTGGGTTCCTATTTTTAGAGAAAATATTACCAAATTTTTTTGAAAAAAAAGTAGGGCCAAAATTGGTTTTAAGATTGAAGTTTCCAAATTAATGTTTTTTATTTATTGATGTTATCGATGTAATTTGTGAGTTGCTTTAATGATTTTTACATTTGACATGGTTTTTATAGGACAACTTAAGTTAGATTAATTTGAGTTTCATGGGTTAACTCGGTTATAAGCTTTATACCACGAATAAAAAATACAAGCAATGAGATTTTATACAAGCAATGAGATGTTAATAGACGTTGAACTTCTGGCTTAGGTTGCTATTTTGAATTGTTGTAGTTGAATATAAATCTTTTGTTCACTTAAAATTTTGATGCTTGGATTAATTTTTTATCAATGGGTTAACGTTGATTTTCTTTGTAAAGATAATTGTTATGATATTAATCTTGCGTTGTTTCGAAGAAACCCACTCACTGGCCAACTATTTGAAAATTTTAGATGCACATGTTATTAGGAGGTTGGAACCCCCTAGGTAATATCCTGAACCTTTTAATCTCTTCCAATTATAAGTGTTGCTCCTGAATTGATACTACTATATGTTTTTAGTTCTTTGGCAAGCATATCAAGTTCAAGTATACATAGGATTATGATTAAAATGTTGTATCGGTATGAGCATTTACTGCCATCATAGCTCTGGTAATGTGACTGTTGTGAATTTTGGTTAACAAGGAAAAATATACAATTTGTATATTCATTGATTAATGTTTAGGCATATAGATATCTCATTTACGGTACTAACACTGTTGATTTTTTAGTTTTGCATGACAGGAGGGCTCTTGCTAATGTTCATGTGTTTTTCAAATTATTGATTGTTGTGGTTACTCAATGCCTTTACGTGTATATGTGGGTGGGAAAATAGTTGTGTGGGTGGGAGACTATGTTATAGAGAGTTGTTGATCATGTTTAGATTTTTTCAAGCCTTAATTGGATGTGGAAGCTATGGAATTTGGGCTGAAATTTTTGGGAATTTTAATTCTTATTTTCCCCCTTGCTTAGATATCAAAAATCTTATTGACATATAAATGTTGTGTTTGATGGAAAATATATTGCATTGTGGAAAATATATCACGTCGTTTTGAGCAAATCTTACTTAGCAATTCCCTATGAGTATGTGTATTATGGGTGAAATGTTGTGGTGGTTGTGGTTTTTGGATTTGCATTGTTAAATTCATGCATTGGAATGTAGTTTGATTTAAGGTCATAGTTTGATTTGACTTTTCATTTGATAATCAGAATGTAGTGTTGTTTGATGATGTTGAAATTTGAATTCCCTAGATTAAATCACGATGCATGTGTAGGGACATTTAAGGAATTGGAGTAGATTGACTATGTGATTTTAAAAAATTGAATGCTAAATATGTGTGCTTGAATGAATAGTGGAGTTAACTATTGTTGAGTAAGGCCACTTTGTGTTTGCGACTTTCTCCCTAAATATGCTAACTCTGATTGTTGAGCTAAAAATTGTTGAGCTAA